ATTTGTTCTTCAGTTCCTTGAGCTTAAGAAATGCTGAGCGAGTTCGGCCCTTTTGATTTTCTGACTCCAACTCCTTGCACATTTCATTGTAATATCCCACACTAAAATTCAGTATCTAAATTTTACATTGTTTAATGGAGAATCTATCAACACATAATTTCAGAATTACATCTAGAACCACATTACTCAAAGTAAAAATAGTTTAGAAATCAGTAAGGAGTGTCACTATCAGTGTAATTACTTTTTAATTATTATGGAACCTGAAAGCATTGGACAGCATAGAAGAAAGTTACATTGGGAATGACAAGTGCTCACCCTGGAGACAATGATAATAGATAATTATGATGACAATTATAAACATATTTCACGGGTTTATTCTGGGCTAGTTGCTTCTAACTCTTGTAAAAATGTCACGGTTTCATGAAAGATGAAATTTATCAGAACTTAATTGGTAATTTTTTTGAATATTTGCTATCTCGGTAGAGTTATTATATATTCATTATAGAATATTCCAAAATGGTAAGTTCAGTCTTCATAATAGATTATTCTCCAGAAAAATTTAAAAAAAACCAATCTAAATCAACAACAAAATAAACAAGCAGCAAAAGTTTCCAAGAAATAACGATTCTTTAAGTGTAATAAATAATAAGACTATTATGAGATGCCAGGTCTTTCTGAGCAAGTAGTAAGTCAAGGGTTCACATTCCAAGATTAAGTTCCTTACCCCAGAGGAGAGGATTAGTAAGAGCTAGGAAAGGTGTCATGGCTCAGTCAAATAAGTGACTTCCGGAAAAGAACACCAGTTCCTTCAGGTAAAGGTGGTGTTGAACCTTAAGTAACACAGAAGGTCAATCATATAGTGAATGGAAAGATCAGCATATGTGTATTGTTGCAGAAGTGTCAGACAGTGTGTCAGTACTTGTACTTTTTGTCCTGGACAGTGTCAACAGTGATTCCCCAGGTTAAAAAAAAATCCCCTTAACAGTTCAAGAGTGTATAATAACTGAGACTAGAGTCTGATGAGACAGAGAAATAAAGTTCTTTATGAAGTTAAAAAGAGGACAGAGTGTTTACTTACCTCTTTTATATTAACATGGAGGATGGAGTTGATGTACATAGGGATGTATAGAAACAAGATTGTATTTGACCAAAAGTAACCAAAAGTAGCAAAGGAAATGGCCCAAATTGGAAGAGACTTTAGCATGGACTTGATGGGTAGAGATTGTTGGCTTGAACTGAACTGGAAAAGAATCCATTAGTTATTAGTATATTGTAACAAACTGAAATATATCTAATTTGAACCATAATATGAAAAGTATTGAGGAAAAGCTTTTGTATTCTACCTGCTGGACCAGAGAGGATGTGATGTATTGCTTTTCACTGATGCTTATGCATGGGTGATCTTTCGGGTCATCATAAACCAGAACAAACCAGAGAAGACATAAAACACCACCATAAGCACCTATCAAAGTAGAATTAGTTAGAGTCTTTTCTGTCTGTGACGGTACTCTTTCCCAAACTGGCATTTTTTTTAATTTATTAGTCTGAGAAACTGGATCTTTTTTTCATGAAACTTTGCAACAATGTTTACATTTTTATAATTTTCCCAGTATCCAGTATTGCCCTCCATACCACAGAAATTATTTCACAGAAATGATGATAAACTCTCTAACCTCTTTTGATCTCTTAGCCTCTGCACGCCTTCATAAATGGCATCTTGGTCTTCCTGCTCTCTCTGCTCTCTGGTATTAATTTGTATAAATTCCTAAAGTATCCACTTCAATGTTAAGAAAAGAACATTTCTCACAACTGGACTCATCAGGTGACATCATCACAAATGAAGAAAAGAGTGAAGCTCTCAAAGATTTCATTTTGCTTATAAGCACAATCCACACTCATTGTAGCAACAGTCAAAAAATTAAAGAACATATTGCATTGGAAAAAAACCTGCTATCAAACACTTCTTTACATGCTAAAGAGTAAGCATGTCAGTTTAAAAATGAAAGTGTCTCTAACACAGGTTAAAGTATTTTCAATTGCCTCATTGGATATGTAAGTTGGGCAAGAAATAAGGAAGAATTGGTCTTTCAACTTGTGGTGCTATGGAGAATATTGGAATTGCACTATCAATGTAAATGTATGAGGTTCAAATACGCTAGTTGCTCCATGGGAGAAAAGTCGGCTATTTTCCCCCATTGGATTTACTACCTCTGAACACCCACCAGAAGAAGATCAGCTATGCGTCAGTTTTAACTTGATGATACACAATAACAGCAACAATACATTCTATTGGCTACCAAGTGAGTAAACAAATTTTTCTTTTGCCAGAAGTGGAGCCAAAGTGTTCCTTTGACGCAAAGATGGTGAGACTTGCTATCAGAAAGGACCAGTCCTTAGAAAGAGATTGTGTTTAGAAAAGTAGCATGTCAGCTAAAAGCAACACTATCTGAGTGACACATTTACTACAATAACAGACTTAATTAAGCACATCAGAGATTGTCAGGTTAACACAAAATCACGAAGGGTTTCAATATAATGTACATAAGGTGGCTGTGGGTTGGAGCCCATCTGTTAGCATTAAAAGCCAATAAAAATTGCTCTGGCAGGTTAGTTCATGTAAATTTCTTAATCTTTCAAATGGGAATAATCAATAATTCCTTATCCATAAATTTAAAACCAAAATTTGAATGCCAATAGTTACTATGTAACTATATATATTGAAGTTTCGAAAAGGTTATGTATGTATTATATAAGGTTATATATTATATATATAATCTTTTTGAAACTTCAAATCTTTGAAGTCTTTTATGTATTTCAATTTTAAGCATTTAATTGTAAAACTAATTTTGTTTTATTATAGGGAGCTTTATATTTTACTTAGTTTATTAAATATAAATAGTACTATTGTAATTCTTGTTAACTCAAATTAAATTAGTTCCAACTCATGATGGAACTTCTCCGTAGATATTTCAAGGCTGATTGATGTATTAGAAGGAGAATGCCAGACCTATGTTCTAAGACTCTTTTATTTAAAAAAATTTTTTTTTTCTTTTTGGGTTTATTTATTTATTTATTTTTAATTTTTTTTTCTAAGACTCTTCTGGATGGGTTTGAGCTGTCAACCTACACATATTATCTTTCTGAAATTAAAATATCATCAATGCTTACCGACCTTTGTTCCAAGTATTTTGTTTATAGACTTGTGGATCTGTAACATCTATATTATAGAATTGTGGGAGCAGTGTGCAATCATGCAAGTATATTTCTAAGTGCAATGCCTGGAGTGTAATTAAACTAAAAATCGAGTCAAAAGTTACTCATATCTGACCCACCCTCCAGTGAATTTTCAGATACTGCGAGTTATGTAGGAAGAGTTTGTCCATCTTCTTCAGAGGAAGTGGTAAATTCAAGTCACCCGCCTTTGAATTGATAGCACAGCTGATTATCCTTTAAACCACAAGACCTCCCACGGCTTATAATGAAAACTTAAAAAATACTGATATCGTTTAAATTTTATAATGGAATTAATACTTTTTCAATATTGGGAGTTCTAGTGGTTTAGTGATAAAGCATTGTCTTGCCAACACAAAGGAAATTGTGTCATTTATTATTGAGACGGAATAGAACCATAGCTTATCCTCCAGCAGATTTTCAGAGGCAGTTAATCACACTGGAAGATATTGTCCATATTTGTCCTGTGAAACAGCTGGTGATTTTGAATTGCAGCTGGTGAAAGTAAATCACATGGTTTATAATCACATAGTTTATTTAAATCATATTACTCTGCAGGGAAAAGATGGGTAATCTCCTCCTGTGCATTATAATTCCTCTGAATCCACTGGAGGGTTCTCTATTGGTCAGTTCTATTCCACTGTACACAAAAACTATGTAAATAATTACATATATTTTTAAACTTTGTATGCTTAAATTATGAATAATTTCAAAGCTTTATAGAAGGTAACTTACTAAATATATAGAAGACAATGGGCCAGCCTAGGGACTCACAGATGAATCCAGTTACAAGCAAAACAATGAAGGATCCCAACAGGAACCCTAATGAAAAGAAACAAATGTTACCCTGATTAATCCAGGCAGCTGAAAATAGAAATAATGTCTCCTAATGGTTGTTAGGTGCTGACGAGTTAAGTACAATTCATAGCAACCCCGTGGACAAAAGATCTGAATTCTGTCCTATCCTGCACCATTCTCACAATTTCTGACATATTCAAAGCCCATTGCTGCAGTCACCATGTCAATTGATCTAAATTGGGGGCGGGGGAGTGTCTTCCTCTCTTTCACTAACCCTCTACCCTTCTATCCATGATCTTTTTCCAAGGAAAAGCCTCTCCTAGCAACATGTCCAAAATATAAGAGACAAAGCTTTGCCATCCTGGCCTCCAAAAAACACTCTGACTTCATCTTTTCCAAGATATACTTGTTCATTCTTTTGGCAGTCCCTGGAATATTCAATGTTCTTCTCTAATATCAAAACTCAAGACATTGATTCTTCTTCTGTCATCTTTACACGTTGTTCAGCTCTCAGTTGTACAGCAAGTGATTCAAGAGACCAATGCCTGTGTCAAGCACGCTTTAGTCTTCAAACTGGCATCACCTCTTCTCAGTTTTGGTTGTTTTGTTTTGTTTTGTTTTTTGGTTTTTGGGTTTTTTTTTCTTTTAGATGTCCCTGATAACAGACTTGCACAAAACAATACATCTCCTTATCTTTTGATTGCTGGTACCAAGAATGTTGATTATGGATCCAAACAAGATGAAATAATGATGATTTCAATCCTTTGTCCATCTATCATGATGTTACCCACTGGACCAGTGGTAAGAACCTTTGTTTTCTTGATGTTAAGAGGCACTTCAAGTCCCCCTTGCTTTCAGCAAACAAGGTTGTGTTATTTGCATAATGCAGATTGTTAATGATCTGATTTTGATGCCACATTTTTCTTCACAGATTCAGACTTCACAAATTATTGGCTCAGCATACAGACTGAACAGACATGGAGAAAGGCCTGATACAGGCTATGGTCTTCACAATTACTTTCTATGCATCTGAGAGCTGGACAATAACTCAGGATGATAGAAGGATTGATGCCTTGGAGTTGTGGTGCTGAAGAAAAGTGTTGAACATACTGTGGATTACCAGGAGAACAAACAGATCTACCCTGGAAAGGATGAAACAAAGATGATCGCCGAAGGGAAGGATTTTGAAGCTCCATCTCACATACTTTGCGCCCATGGCCAGGAGGGACCTATTCTTGGAGAAAGACATTATGCTTGGAAGGGTGGAGGGACAGCACAGAAGAGGAAAACCCAAGACAAGATGGATTGGCTTAGTGACTAGACAAACAAAATTTAGTCTATTGTGAACGATGAGATTGGCTCAGGATACAACAAGTTTTAGAACTAATGTACTATGAGTTGCATGTGACTCAATGACACATAACAAAAACAACAACAACAGCAACAATGGGATTAGATTCTTAAAAGATCTCAATCATCTATTTTAGTCTCTCCTGGTTGTAGGTTTTTCATTATGCTTAGAAGTCTGTCCGTTCTGTGGATTAGGTCTTGTAGAGTTGTTCCTAGATTTCTTCTGATGAATTTTACGGTCTTTGGTTTTACTCCAGGTTCCTGATCCACCTTGAGTTGGGTTTTGTGTATGATGTGAGGTGTGAGTCTTGCTTAAGTTTTCTACAGATTGTTTTCAAATTTTTCCAACTCTATTTTTCAAAGAGGTTATACTTTCCCCACTTAACTGGTTTTGCCTCCTTGTAAAAAATCAGTTGACCATCGATAGGTAAGCTGATTTCTGGGTTCTCAATTCTATTCTATTCCATTGATCTTTTTTTTTTTTGTCCCTGTACCTTAATCACCATGGCTGTATAGTAGGATGTGAGATCACTGATTATGATGTTTCCTAATTTCTCTTTTACTATAGTCTTGAGCTTATAGGGTGTCTTTTTCCATTCCATAAAAAAATGGAACTTGTAATTTCTGTTTCATCCAAGAATACCCTGTATTGAGATTACACTGAACTTGTAAATTGCCTTTGGTATAATTGTAATTTTCACCATATTGAGTCTTTCTTTCCCTGAGCATGGTATACTCTTTCATTTTTCTAGGTCTTGTTTTGTTTCTAGTAGTAAGGTTTTATAATTTTCTCTGTATAGGTCTTTTGTGTTTCCTGTTAGATTTACTCCCAAGTATTTAATCTTGTGATTATCTATTGTAATTACTTTTATTTCTTTTAGTTCCGTTCCTATACTTTGTCACTGTAGAGAATTCAGAATAATTTTTGTATGTTGATTCTGTATTCTGCCACTCTGCTGAATTGCTTGATTATGTCCAACAGTTTTCTCACCGTGTCGTTAGGGTTTTCTAAGTACACCATATTATCATTTTCATATATAGAATATTTTACCTCCTTTTTGCCAATTTGTATATCTCTTATTTCCTTCTCTTGCCTTACTGTTCTTGCTAAGACTTCCAATACAATATGGAATAGGAGAGGAAGTAGTGTTCATCCTTATCTAGTTCCTGTTCTCAAGGGGAATCTCTCTCCATTGAGAATGGTGTTCACTCTCATTTTTGTATATATGCTTTTCACTATGTTGAGGAAATTACCCTCTATTCGTATTTCATTGAGTGTTAAATCAGGAAGGGGTGTTGGATTTTGTTAAAGGCCTTTTTTTGTATCAATTGGTAGGATCATGTACTTTTTGTCTTTTACTTTGTTAATGTGATGAGTTATATTAGTTGATTTTCTTATGTTGAACCATCCTTGCATACCTGTTATGAATCTCACTTGGTCCTAATAAAGTTTTTTTTTAATACTGTTGAATTCTATTGGCAGGATTTTATTGAAGTGTTTCACATCTATTCATGAGAAATATTGGTCTGTAGCTTTCTATTTTGGTAGTGTCTTTACCTGATTTTGGTATTAGGGACATGTTTGCTTCTTAAAATAAGTTTTTCTATTTTCTGAAATAGCTCATGTAGAATTGGTGACAGTTCATCTCTAAATATTTGATAAAATTCAATAGTAAAACCATCTGGTCCATGGCTTTTTTTCAGTGGAAGTTGTTCTATAAGCTATAATTTCTTCTTTTGTTAATGAGTGTTTTATTTTAGTCTGTCACTTTGGTGATTTAACAATTTTAGACTCCAAGTTCTTACCCGATAGACATATAGAAGTAAGTCGACCTCGTTCCCTTGGGGGAGCCCATTTGGTCCATATTTCATGCTGTCCTGTTGATGCCATCCCCTGAAATGAGAACCATGAAGACAGATCTCTGATATTTTCCATATATATAAGTCCACTTCATTTTTGGCATTCTATGAATACCTGGGCTATACCCTGGACCACTCGACACACAATAACTGAAGTTTTTCCAAATGCAGCTGCTAGTGGTATAAGCAGAGAACACAGAGAGCTGAGAAAAAGTCCACAGCCAACTATTTTCTTTATTGAGTATATTCCAGACAGGTATCCACTAGGAAGTTGGATTATGGCTGCACCATAGAAGATGGAACTTAGGATGAGCCCCTGAGTTTCTGGGCTCCAATCATACACAGGATTCTGAAAGAAAAAAGGAGACACATTTAACCACTCTGCAAATTGGAAGTTTACTGCTATAATCAGAAATAAGGGGAAGTGATCTTCCTTTTAATCCTATGTAAATTTGAAGTAACTAATCTTCAACTAACACCAAGTTATTCTTATTAAGTGCATCATATATACTTCCAATACTTGTCATAATGAATATATTTTTTTAATTTTTTAAAAAAATTGGTTTGCCTACAGTTTGCATACATTGTGTTTCACACTGTTATTCATTCACATTATGTTTCATACAATCATTCTTATGTATTATGTTTTATAAAATTAATCACCATTGGACCTTGGCAATCATTACCCTGTCTTTTCACTTAGATCTTTCCCATTTATGTACCCCTCATCCACCCACCAAACTGTGTAACCCTGTGGTTTCACTCCTACCTACCTCATTCCTCTGCTTCCACTCCTCCACCCTTGAGTTCCCATACATATTTTACTAGTTATTCTTCTATTTTTACAATCATGATCCTTGGCAGTGTTTGTCCCTATGAAACTTAGTTCATTCAGTATAATACTCTCAAGCCTCTCCCAAGTTACATAATATTCTTCAAAATTGTTCATTTTGAGTGCTACAATTCATTCAGTTGTTGTTGGACATTTGGGCTCTTTCCATGTTCTTGTGATGGTGAATAATGCTGCTATGAACTTTGGTGTACAAATCTCTGTATGTGTTTCAGTTCTAATTTCCTTGAGATATATTCCTGCTGGTAGATTAGCTGGATCATAAGAAGTTTCTATATTTAATTTTTGAGAAAATATCAAACTGTCTTCCCAAGTAGTTGTACCAATTTACAATCCCACCAACGATGTACAAGAGTTCCCACCTCTCCACATCCTCTCCAACATTTATTGCTTACTGCCCTACTAAACTTAGCCACTGCTACTAGAGTGAGATGGTATGTCATTGTAGTTTTGATTTACATCTGTCTTATTGCCAGTGACTTAGAGCATTTTTTCATGTATTTGTAGACTACTTTAATGTCTTCCTCTGTGAAAAGTCTAAGTCTTTTGACAATTTCATAATTGAATCATCCATCTTTTTCTTCTGAAGGCCCAGGAATATTCTGTAAACTTATGTTATGAGCCCCTTGTACAATGACAGGCACACTGATCAGTGGAACAGAACTAAGAACCCAAAAATAAACCCAGATATCTATGGTCAACTGATAGTCTTCAAGGAAATAAAACTTATTAAATGGAGAAATGACAACCTCTTCAACAAATGGTGTTTGAAAACTGGACTGCTACTTACAGAAAACTGAAACAAGATCCACATTACACACCATACATATAAATTAACTCAAGGTGGATCAGAGTTTCGGGAGCAAAGTCCAAACCCATCAAGTTTATAAGAAACAAACTAGGACCGAGATGAACAGGCTTAGCTTATGTTATAAAGAAACTGACAAATACAGTCAGAATGTATAATCTAACGAGAACAGAATTGATGAATAGGATTTTCTAAAGGTTAAATTTCTGTGCTCATCAAAAATTTTTTCCAACAGAGTGAAAAGAAAGCCTACCAACTGGGGATAAACATTTGTCAACACCATTTCAGACAGAAGGTTCTTTTATTTTTTTATTTTTTTGAATGTTTCTAAACTACAGGAAAAGCACATGTATAAGCAGAGAGTACAGTTGACACTTCTCTATTCAATATACTAACTAGTATTTATCTGACTAAACACTTTATATGTAAATGTTTTCCGTGTAAACTTTATGAATAAATATATCTATTTATAAACTTGAGTCCTACAAATAAAAGAAAAATGGATGATAACTGACAGGCAAACATGAATGAAGGATATCAATAAATATCAAGCGCCCTTAAGCCTACCTAGGTCACAGAAATATGGAAATATTCTTTTTTCTGTAATTCCTTGAAGGAGAAGGATTTTTTTTTTCCTGGATTGTAGCAAGAGGTTCTAAGACTAGAAAAAAATTGAGGCATGAGTATCCTAAAGAAATATTCCAAGTTCCATAGCTCAGGAAGTTCCATTCCTTTGCCACAGCCAAGACTCTAATGTCTCAATAGCCATTTTCTGGAAAATGAAGCATTTTTGTTGATGTTGTCAATCAGTCCTAATTCATCTCCATCCCAACTATAACAGAAAGAAGCACTGTCCAATCCTGCACTTTCTTCACAAATCTAGCTATATTTGAGCCCATTGTTTCAGCTACTCTGTCGATCCATCTTAGTGAGGCTCTAACTCTTTTTCACTAAACTTCTATTTTATCAAACATGATTATCTTTCTGCAAGGATTGATACCTCCATATAGAATTGTTCTCATTATCCAAAGACAGTGCCTTTCTATGGGTCCAAATTTATCAGAGGCTCTGAGAGAGACAGATGGGAAATCTCCTCTTGTTCTAATTATAGCCTTGGAAATCTGCTAGAGGGTGAGCTATGAGTAGTACCAACTCCACAACAGTAACTGAATGAATGAGTGATAAAATATCCAAACTACAATTTATACAATTATTATATGCTTTTACAGTGTAGAAAGAATTCAACTAAGAAAAAAAAAAAGACTAATTAGAGAAAGTAGAGGGCAAAATCAGCTCTCAGTATTAATTAGTAGGAAATGGACATCATTTAAAGCATTGTTACTTTTTTTTATAAATTAATTTATTTCTTTTTAATTTCACTGAACATCTACAGAGATTTTGGAATTCATTCATTGTTGCACTTTTCTCCCCACCCACTCACCCCCATCCCCACCCCCAGTTTCCTCCTCTCCTTGAAAAGCAAAAGAAAAACTCCTTCATTGTTACACAATCCCCCACCCCCACCCCGCACATTCCCACTCCCATCCAAAGTATACTCCATTCTGCAACCCTCATTCCGGACTCTTATGATAATCATAATGCCCTAAAATACATTAATTTTAAACTATTCTCTCCCTCATTGGCTTCACAAAGGGACAAATATTATATGGTGCCATTGTTGTAGAATGAGGCTGACATTGGGATGGGGATAAGACTGAGAAAAACTGGATAAATTAGGTTTACTGCATTGAAGCATTGTTACATTTTTAAAAAGGGAGCTACGGTACTTTATATATAATATGTTGTCTTTAATAATAACAGAGCTGAAAAATAAGAAAATATGTTCATGTTTTGTTGTGTCTTACAAAGGAATACAAGAAAACATTTAGGGACAAGTATTCCTCATGCCCTTCTTTCCATTTTCTCCAGTATCTACATTTTCTGAAAGATAACAAATTACTAACTTCTAGAATGAAAATTAATACAGGCATAGCTCATTTTATCGTGTTTTGCTTTGAAAATGTATACAGGCATACTTCACCTTATTAAGTTTTATTTTGTACTACACAATTACTGCATGTTTTTTTTCAAACTGAGGTTTGAAATATCTTCCTTGTCTCACTTACTTGAGACAAGTGTATCAATACCAGTTTTCCAGCAGCATGTGCTCACTCTATGTCTCTGTTTCAAGTTTGGGTAATTCTTATACTTTAGCTGTCTAGTGCTGCTTTAAGAGAGATGCCCCATGTAGGTGGTTTCAACAAAGAGAAATTTATTCTCTTGCAATTTAGAAGGCTTACTGTTGTCATTAACTGTTAAGCCAGAAATAACTCATAGCTGAATCATCAGTGGATTTTCAGAAGCAATAAAGCGCAGGAGAGATTATCCATTCTTTTCCAACGGAGGAGCTGGTGGATTGAAATTGCATGCCTGAGTTCTTTTTTTGAACTTAAAAAAATTATTATTATTAATTTTTATGAAGATTCATTGTTGCACTTGTCTCACTCCCCATCCGTCCCCTCTAGTTCATTCTTCTCTTTGAAAAATTAAAAGAAAAATTCTTTCATTGTTGTACAATCCCTTCCCCCCAAGTCCACTCCATTCTGTAGCATTCGTTCTAGACTCATGTCATGACAATAATACCTAATCATATATACCTTTTAAACAGTTCTTTCTCTAATATGTTTCAATGCAGTATGAATAATTTATCCCATCTTTCTCAGTCTCCGGCCCAACCCCTTGTCATTCCTGTTTTACAATGGTGAAACTATGCAGTATTTGTCTTTTTGCGACTGAGATCTTTTACTCAGCATAATGTCCTCCAGGGTCACCCATTTTGAATATTTCATGAGTTCCTTGTTTTTCAATGAAGCATAGTGTTCCACTGTGTGTATATACCATAGTTCTCTATCCATTCGTTTGTTTCCAACTCTTTGCTATTGTGAACAAAGCTGCAATAAACATGCATGTGCATATATCTGCTTGGGTGGTGGTTATGGTTTCTTTGGGGCATATTCAAAGTAGTGGAATTGCTGTGTCAAATGGCATTTCTATTTGCAACTTTTGAAGAAAGCGTCATATTGCCTTTCATAGGGGCTGCACCATTTTACTCACTCCCTAACAGTGAATAAGTGTTCCAGTTTCTCCACAACCTCACCAGTGTTTGTTGTTTCTTGTTCTGTTAAATTTTGCTATCCTTACTGGGGTGAGATGACATCTCATAGTTGTTTTGATTTGCATCTCTCTTAGAGCTGGGATTTTGAATATTTCTTCATGTGTTTGTTTGTTGTCTGAACGTCTTCTTTGGTGAAGTGTCTGTGTATATCCTGTGCCCATTGTTCTATTGGATTATTTACCTTTGTCTTGTTGTGGTGCTCAAGTATTT